AATACTATAAAAGAGAGGGGTTTGTGTCAAGTTTATCATTTGTGAGCTTAACTTCAAAGCGATAGGAGCACCATGTCTCAGTCTAACCACAGCGAGGAGGAAGATTTGAGTTCTGAAAGTATCCATACCGATACCTCGGAAGAAAGCAGCGAAGAGAGTAGTGATTCAAGTGATGTTGATTCAAGTGAAGAGCAGGAGGATATCGATGTCTGGGCAAGAATTCAACACCAAGCTATGGATAGATATCARCAAGAATATGAAGTACTGGTTCAGAAATACAAACAAAATGGCGATACCGATACCGCAGCAGAAATCAGAGCAAATAATGCTTTGCTTCCCTCATATAGAAAAGCGCTGAGGGAGGTTCTGTTTGACGAGCTAAAGTGGATGCATCTATTCAAAAGAGATCCTATTTATAAAAAGATAATAGAAAAACAGAAAAACCTTATGGATATGGAGAGTTATGACTGGGAAGAATTAACCCAATCAGCCATTCATCAAAGAAAGTTTTTGTTGAACAAATTGTTCACAAAAGAAGAAGTCCCAAAACAAAGCGTAAACGAAAGATTCCATCCCTACAGTCGTAATTTTAGTGGTTTTGATTTGAAGGCTTGCATTGCCGGATAACATGCTAACAATAGAAAGAGAGATTTTTAATAGCGAAGAGCACTTTGACCAGTCATCAATGCAAGGAGCAATAGAGGCCAAGGAATATCTCGAGGAACTTTTGAATTATCCTGACAAAGGCCTTTTGGAACATGAAATAATCATCAGTATCAATAATAAACTGCTCCAAAACGATAAACTGTGTGCTTATTGCACAAACCAGAGAATGACCACTTACCAGGGTCAGGAAATATGGTACTGCGATCCAAAGGATATTCAGTCTAGAATGCAAATTATAGTGGATTGTTTTAATTATAAAACCATTTATTGCTGCCAGGTTTTAGAGGCGCTTGCCGAATTTGTCCTAGCTTTCCTTGCCGTCCATCCATTTTCAAACGCCAATGGAAGAACTATCAAGTTTCTAATATGATACGTTTTGGAAAGCTTTTACGAAGTTAAAACCTTCTATACTATTAGCTACAGTAGATGGTGTAACATAGTGTATCACAAGTCACAAGATTCTCTGTTGGATTGGTTTCAAACTATGATATATTAATAATAATAATCGCAAATACAATGATGTATCAATGGAAATGAATAGGTCAACAACGATCCATTCATGTTTTCAAAACATATATCATATGTAATACCTTAACTTTAAGTTTATGGAATAAAATGTTTTACAGCAATGGTTTGCGTCGGAAAATGGTTTCTAATCCCATTCCAATCTCTTTTCCGGGGTCATTCCGAAAGATTCCCGGAGTCTTTCCGGGGTCGCTTCGGGCCATTTCCGAGCCACCCGGACAGCCCGGTTTTTTTCCGGACCTTTCCGGGCCTTTCCGGACCAATTTCCGGGCCTTTCCGCGGACCATTCAGAATTTTTCCAAGTAATTTGTGACTTTTAAAACAATATGAAACAAGTGAAATATAGATTCCAGGAGTTAGAAATATAAAAAAGGCTAAAAAACATTACTTTGGTTATAGACCCCTTGCATGTGACGTCAAAGCAGCTTCATCTGGAGGACAAAACAAACGATTTTTAACCTCTTGGGAACTAGAATTCCCATGAACTGCACGGGGTCTATTCAAACTCCTTTAGCAGGTGATCTATTGTCTAAGAACAAAGGCAATCATAAACCTTTTCTCTGTCCAGTATAATTTATACGATCGTTCAACCTTGACATAAAGCTATGTGCTTCTTATAAATATAACACACCATTTTCTTGTCAGTTGTGTAATCCTTGCTTTCATTTAAACATGCACCACATCACAGAAATAGTATTAATGCATCTTTCTTTGATCGTGTAATCTTCAGTGAAGATTCTTCTAACACAGCATGAGCTTCTTCAAAAACTTCTACTGTAGTATTCTTGCTTTCATTATACAAGAACGTTCATTGTTCATTATTTGCACAACAGCACTAAACTTGAAAGGTTTTCACTGAAAAATCAGACGGRCGAAAGCACATCCACCAGTTCATCGAAGCTCTCTTTTGACATTCCATCTCGGGAACTCTTACCAATGAGATAGCTGTCATGCATTTCTTCGCACAACGTTCGATAACTGTCGTGATATGGAATTGCAATAAAATCTTGATAGGTTGCTAATACTTGATCTACTGTTTCTTCTTGTAATCTCGATGTCAAAGATTTTTCTTTAGGTTTTATCCCTACAGTTAAGCTAAACAGAAACTCTTCAAGTTCATCTATAATACCATACGGCATTAATTCCTGGGCTCTACTGAAATATTTCTCAAAATCCTCTTTCAAACATGGTCGTGATGAGTAATTCCACATCGATTCTTTTGTTTCTTGTTTTTTAACTAAAGAAATATTTGCTTTCAATACACAAAGCATGAAAGCTGCGTAGCAAACTCAATATTTCTGCTGAAATGCTTTCTTGATGGGTTTTAGGAGATTGCTTTAAAATACGGTTTAGCTCGTCCATATTACAATCTCCGGATTGATTAATCAGCGTTTTGTAACAAATTCTCAATATTACTTGCAAGTCAGAGCGCAGAGTGACTATAACAGCCCAGATTGAAGCAATAAATAGCCGCTTAGGCGAAACAATAGAGAACAAAAGGACTATTGTTCGGGGATTAAGTGAAAGGCCCACAAAAATGAATATATAATAGCCCACAAAAATATTGAATATATTAGCCCACAAATATTCATGAGCACACAGATTTTTTCCACAAATCCCACAAAAAATCCGGCCCCAACTATGCAGCTAATTCTACTGAAACTTGTCGAACAATATTATTTCGGTCTTTAAGACACTCCGGTAATAAACCCCCCCCAAAAAGTACGACTAAAAACCGTTTTTGGAAAAAGTGTCTATGTTTTTTTTGTTTGCAAAAGAGAAAAAAGAAATGCTGTACCTTGATGTTTTATGAGCAGTCTCAGTAGATAGAACCCATCAATCAAAACTGAAATGAAAAAGATCATTCTGATGCCCTTGTATTATGTAAAAAATAATAATCTGATGAATTATTAATCAATTTTGGAAATTAGGTCCACTGTGTAATATATAAATTACCGTATCAGACTAAAACATCTAGTTAGGTGTAACTAATGTTCACAAAAACTTAAAAGCCAACCTGGAAATTATTTTAAAAAGAACTTTTGAACAAAAAGAAAGAGACAAAATGAATGTGTCTCAAATGTCATTCAATTGTCTGATAAACACCTGCGCAAGTCCAAATAGGAAATTGCACGACCTTTTACAGTTTGGAATTAATAATCACAAGTAGCGTTTTGAAAGTTCTTTGTAATGAGTGCTATAGGGTGAGTGCGAGAATTTATATTGTTTCTGTGTCGACAGAAGCACAGCTTATTCCAGACTAAAACAGACCAAAACCTACCTCTATTCTATACTTCTTATAACCTCTCCAAATTGTAACCAATCCCAGTCATAAACTATACCCTATTCCATCAGACAAAATAAAAAAAAGGATAAATGGTGTGTACTAGCGCTAAACTAGTGAGCTGCGTCTGTGTTTCTATCGGAGAAAATGTGTTAACAAATAGTCAGACCATA